AAGAGTTAAAGGTGTACCAGCATTACCTAGACAAAGAATAAAGAATAATATGGAGAATACTGGCATTACTTGAGCTATACCTCTGTAATAAGTAATAAGTCTAGTGTGACTTCTTTCATATAGCACACCACCTACACAAATGAATAACCCACTAGATACAAAACCATGGGCTAAACCTAATAAGATAGAACCTTCAATACCAATAACAGTATTACTAAATGCTCCCATTAAATAAATTGCAGCATGGGCAACAGAAGAATATGCAATCAGCTCTTTAATATCGATAGTTCTAAGTGTACTAAAGCTAGCATAAATAACAGTAATAACACCCAAAATATAAACAATATAAGTGAAATCTAAAGAAACACATGGTAATAAAGGTAACATCAATCTAAAAATACCATATAAACTTAATTTTAAAACAACTGCAGCTAAAATTATACTACCAGCTAATGGTGATTCAACATGAGCCTTTAGTAATCAAATATTAACAAAATATACAGGAGTTTTTATGGCAAAAGAAATAAGAATTCCAATGAATACAAATACCTGAGTTTCTTTTGATAAACAAAGCTTAAATAAAGCATCGTAATCAGTAGTTCCTGCTATGGAATATATAGTTAAAATAGATAATAATAAAAATAGAGAACCAAACAATGTATATAAAAATAAGAAGAAACTTGCTCTTACTCTATTACTAGATCCGAAAAGCCCAATCAGAATGAATAAAGGCCCAAGAATACTCTCGAAAAAAATATAAAACAATAAAATATCTAACACTAAGAAAACCGCTAATAAAAGTGTTTCTAATAACAATATTATTATTACGTAAGATCTTACATTTTCTGATATTGATGTTCAATTAGATAACAATGCAATTGGCATTATTATAGTTGTTAATAAAACAAAATATATGGATAAACCATCCACACCTAGATAAAAATCAAAGCTACTTATGCTATGATATTCTTGAACAAATTGGAATTGATTACTACTGAAATCAAAAAATATAAACATAATTAAAGAGACAAATAAATTAACGATTGAAGTTATTAAACCAATAATTTTAATATGTTTTATATTTAAGCTAGAAGGATCGTCGTACATTCCTATATATATAACAGATAAACCTATAATAGGTATTAGTAATAAAGATAACAATAACATATAATTAATAATTAAATAAAAAAAAAATAAATTAATGTCTACTAGACTGTTATTTTTGTTTTACGTCTTTTTCTATTGTTTTTTTT